TGCTCCCACTCACTCACACCTATAAACATTCTCTATCTCTCTCTATTTTATGATACTACCATTAGCTTCACATCTCTATGTAAATTCTATAACCATGATATCTTATATACGTATTTATTGTACAAAATGTTAATGCAGCCCCCTCACAAAAGTATTCCAAATGGTGCTTATTTATAGAATCTCTTATTTAATTTATATTGTTTCTTCCAAAAACTGTTATAGTTTATAAAAGTTTTTTTATGTGGATCGATATCACGAATTCAAACTTCTTTAGAATATATACGAAGGTACATATGTGTATGAAACTACTAAGTAAATAAAACAAAATATAATAGTGATTTTTCTAAAGGATCTTGTGTTGTGATTTGTTATATTTGGTATTAATTAGTAGAATTAAGGACACTTTCTAACCCTTTTTGCCATGTATAAAAGATATTTTATGTTTTTATTTTAACCACTTACGATAATAGTACTTGAATAACTTTGGTTTCATGTATTTGGCCTATATGTAAACGAACAGCGTATAAGTTACGTCTTTTGGGAAATTTACACCGTGTATATGTACAACATGTATGTCGTTTTCAATTTCTAGGTGTCCATAATCACATTCATAGGCATAAATACAATTTTGCATGAGAGAGAGATAATCAAAATGTACAGAAGAAATAAAAGGGAAGGTTGCTCGGGTGGATCGATATGAAAAGAAGGAAAGGCGAAACCCACCAAGCGCCATTACATGATATCGACTTTCTTATTTTTTTCTTCTTTGCTTATAAACTTTTCTTTAATTTTTTATCATTTTCTTTCTGTCATGACTTTTTTTCCATATAATGAAACCTACAAATAATCTAACTTATCCATTCCCACGTAAATAAGATATAAGCTAGTTTTTATATTGTGACAAGATTGAAGAAGTTGTAAATAGTATAACTTAAAAAAACTGTAAAATTAGTAGGATCGTTATGTCAATAATCAATTTGATTGATCATCAGTTAGAGCTATAGTAAAACAAAAAACATTCTTGATAAGCCAAAAGGAGTAAAAGATTTTTGTTTTAATAAAACCCATCTCTTCTCTCTCTAATTATGTCTTCACTAAACCCAATTAGATTCAAACAATCTATTAAGTCCAAAAGATAAACATGGGACAAGAATTCGATGCAGAAATATCATCTTTTCATGCTTCATTCTTTCTTTAAATTAATTACTAATATTAATTATAAAACTCACAAAGACCACCAAACCCATTCTCTACATCTCATCTTCATCAAAGATTCACCCACTCCCACCGAAACAAAAGAAAATAAAAAGATATATACTATATAACAACACATGATGCTGATGCAGTATACATAACAAAGTATTAAATCTTAGATATTGTGGGTCTCCCATCCCTCTTGTCTGTCCTCTATTCATTTTCTTATTCATATTAAAAGAGAGAAAGATGGATACTCTCTTTAGGTTAGTCAGTCTCCAACAACAGCAACAATCCGATAGCATCATTACAAATCAATCTTCGTTAAGCAGAACCTCCACCACCACTAGTGGCTCTCCACAAACTGCTTATCACTACAACCACAACAACTTCCCACCAAACGACGTTGTAGAAGAATGCTACAACTTATTCATGGATGAAGAAGACCTTTCCTCTTCTTCCTCTCATCACCACAACAACAATCCTACTCGCTACTACTCTCGTTTCACTACTCCCACCCAATACCATCCCGCCACCTCATCAACCCCTCCCTCCACCGCCACCGCCGCCGCAGCTGCCTTGACCTCACCGTACTCCTCCTCCGGCCACCACAATGACCCTTCCGCCTTCTCCATCCCTCAAACTCCTCCTTCCTTCGACTTCTCATCCAATGCCAAGTGGGCAGACGCGATCCTCCTCGAAGCCGCACGTGCCTTCTCCGACAAGGACACCTCACGTGCGCAACAAATACTCTGGACGCTCAACGAACTCTCTTCACCATACGGAGACACCGAGCAGAAACTCGCTTCTTACTTCCTCCAAGCTCTCTTCAACCGCATGACCGGTTCAGGCGAACGATGCTACCGAACCATGGTCACCGCTGCATCCTCAGAGAAGACTTGCTCCTTCGAGTCAACCCGCAAGACCGTGCTCAAGTTCCAAGAAGTTAGCCCATGGGCCACGTTTGGACACGTGGCGGCAAATGGAGCGATCTTGGAAGCAGTAGACGGAGAGGCAAAGATCCACATCGTCGACATAAGCTCCACGTTTTGCACTCAATGGCCAACACTTCTAGAAGCATTAGCCACGAGGTCAGACGACACGCCACACCTAAGGCTAACCACAGTAGTGGTCGCTAATAAATACGTCAACGATCAAACGGCGTCGCATCGGATGATGAAAGAGATAGGAAACCGAATGGAGAAGTTCGCTAGGCTCATGGGAGTTCCTTTTAAATTTAACATTATTCATCACGTTGGAGATTTGTCTGAATTTGATCTCAACCAGCTCGATCTTAAACCAGACGAGGTCTTGGCCATCAACTGCGTAGGCGCCATGCATGGGATTTCGCCACGTGGAAACCCTAGAGACGCTGTGATATCGAACTTCCGAAGGTTAAGGCCGAGGATTGTGACCATAGTCGAAGAAGAAGCTGATCTTGTCGGAGAAGAACAAGGCTTTGACGATGAGTTCTTGAGATCTTTTGGAGAATGTCTTCGTTGGTTTAGGGTTTGTTTTGAGTCGTTGGAAGAGAGCTTTCCGAGGACGAGTAACGAGAGGCTGATGCTTGAACGTGTGGCGGGAAGAGAAATAGTTGATTTAGTGGCTTGTGAGCCATCAGGTTCGACGGAGAGGAGAGAGACGGCGAGGAAGTGGTCGAGGAGGATGAGGAACGGAGGGTTTGGGGCCGTGGGGTATAGTGATGAAGTGGCGGATGACGTCAGAGCTTTGTTGAGAAGGTATAAAGAAGGAGTTTGGTCGATGGTTCCGTGCTCTGATTCCGCCGGAATATTCCTTTGTTGGAGAGATCAGCCGGTGGTTTGGGCTAGTGCGTGGCGGCCAACGTGAAAGGGTTTAGGGTTTTTATTTGATATATATATGCACGTGCGCTTGTTGGTTAAGATAGTTTCACACGTGTGGGGTTGGTTAATTATGGCTTGGGATTTTGAGAGTTTACTATTGATGATAATGCGTTCATAATATGAATTAAGCTTTTTTTGGAATAGAGGGTTTCAAGGATTTATATCTTCGTGAATTTATTTACTTTTTGAGATTTTTTTACTTTCTGCTATGAGTTAAGTTTTGTGATTAGTTTGGTTTATGCAAAGAATATATTTTTTCCTTTATAATGAAGGTGTTATTTTTCGTATACTAGAAGCTCTAAACCATATATATCGTGCTTTTTTCCTTTTTAATATGTGAGAGCATTTGATATGAATTAATTACTGTTACATTGAATGATTAAATTAACTGGAACTCATACAATGAACGTATAAGCCAACAGCAGCACTTAAAATTCAACAGGAGTTATTACGAATTGAGGTATATAATATCTTTTTTTTGGAACTGAGGTATATACTTATTCGATGTTACTTCTACATAAAAGCTTTGTTAATTAAAGAGAGGTGGTTCTGCTTCACTTCATTCTGGTTATGAAGAGATCCGGCAACTACTTTGGTTGAGGAATCTCTTCGGTGGAATCTAGTGACTGTAGCTAATGGCATGCACGCTTCTGAAAATTTACTAGCATATTTTTGATCATTCGAAAACATAAGCAAACTTAAAACATTACTGGCAACGGCTAATATATTCTATTACAAGCAAAGCAAGTAATCTGACGTTTAGGCAACACCAGAATATTGTAATGTAAGTGTTATTTACCATAGCAGTTCTTACTGTTTACATTCTGATGCGTGGTATGTATTGAACAAAAGAAAAATAATCAACGTTGTATACACGGCTATTAATTACTCAGAAAGGGATATCTTATTCATTTGTTGTTCTTTTTTTTTTTCATTTGTTCTCAACTGTTGTTCTTAATGTATACCATTTTCTATATTGGCTTTTCAATATTGCATATTTCAACTTTTGCTTTACAAAAAGGTAAAGGGACCAATCTTCTATTTGGTCCACAAATATATACATATATTATTATGTCTTCGAGTTCGAGGGATTAACACATGCATATACTTAAGAAAGTTAATGTCCCCCTTACCCATCATGTTTTTATTTAGTGAACAGGCCATAAAAAGTAAATAGTAATTGAAATAAATAGTTAATCCATTGATACTATCGTTTCAACACACACACATATATAGCCTTTTGAATTTGAAATATGAAAAAGTAGTGGGAACTACTTTTAAGATATGTGGCTGGTTTTACTACAACTCTCTCCCTGGGCCTGCATCTTTTGATGAGGCTTTGCCCTCCCCATGTTAATGGTACGATCGCTTTTTAAGCTAATCCTTTTTAAAAAATCTAGCTTCTTTTGGTCTGTTTTCTTGTTTATAAAGTAATGCCAAAAAAGCAAATTAATACAATAAAAAATCTACTGGTTGTCCCATTTTTGCTTTAACTCGAATCAAAACCTTGTTGGACCCCCTTTGTACCAAGACTTGACCATTACACATGGCTAACTACAAAATGCCTAAACTCATAGGGAATATCTTAGTTAATCCCATGATGCAAAGGTTAATTTTTGAGAGCCATTTCAAACTATTTTATTTTCTACATGGACGAGCATTCTTATTGTGACCATAACTTATCGGAAAATAAATGAGTTTTTGGATAGAATAAAATGTGCAGTATTATACAGTTAATCTCATCGAAAACTTTATTAAAATTTAAACATGAATTTTATATTTGTTCTCTATGATCTTGTGCGATCCATTTTTTTCTCCTGAGATGCTATGTTCTCTATGGGCCTCTTTAAATGGGCCTCACGAAGCCCATATCATTTAACGAGCTAAAACGGCAAATGAAATGAAACAGAGAAACCCTAAGCAAAAACCTCCACACCGGCGAAAATGCGAGCTCCGATCTCCGGACTGCTATCTAGATCCATCGCTCTCCTCCACGTCACTCGTCCTCTAATCTCCGCCACTCGTCCCCTATGCGCCGTCGCGTCTCCCGAAGCTAGGACGAAGAAGCTCGAGCGAATCGCCGACGACTTGCTCAAACTCAACAGGATCGAGCTCTACGACTACTCGATCCTCTTCAGCCACAAACTCGGCCTCAATCGCTACGGTTCCGCCGTTTCCTCCCCCGCCGGAGATCTCCCCGCCGACGGATCCGCCTCTGGTGAGACGAAAGCCGCGGAGAAGACGGCGTTCGATGTGAAGCTGGAGAAGTTCGAAGCGGCGTCGAAGATTAAAGTGATTAAGGAGATAAGAGCGTTCACGGAGCTGGGGCTGAAAGAAGCTAAGGAGCTTGTTGAGAAAGCTCCTGTGGTTGTCAAGACTGGTCTTACTAAGGAAGATGCTGAGAAGATTATGGAGAAGCTTAAAGCGGTTGGTGCTACTGTTGCTTTGGAATAGAATAAAGTTTGTTACTTTATGATTCAAATAATAATTCTTATGATAAGTTTGGGAATCATACAATATGGAAATGTTTATTACAATGTTGCTCAGAGTTTTTGCTTGATTTGGTTTCTTGATGATGATTATTATATCCTCAGTACTGAGATGCCACTCCTGTCAGGTAGTAGCTTTTTCATGTAGTATTTGGATTTTCTGGAGAGGTTGATTCTTTCTCTTCTGGTCTCTGGTATCACCTCGATTGAACATTCTTGGAACCCGCGTCTCACGAACCAATCTGCTGTTCGTGTTGTTAGTAGAAACAGCTTCTCTAACCCGAGTGATGAAGCTTTCTTCTCTATGTAATCTGCAGAAACAGATTGTATTGTGTGTCATTGATAACTTTGACAGAAATGTCATGACTTTAGTTCAGTTTTCTCTAGTGTTTTGATGACTTAAAGACGTCTTACCTAGTAGTTTATCGCCTTGGCCTTGACCGCGGCAATCTGATGCAACTGCAATGGCTGCAACTTCTCCACATTTGTCTTCAAAGAAGGGAAACAGAGCTGCACAAGCGATGATCTGACCTTCTCTTTCCACAACCACAAATGATTCCAAAGCTCGCAGTAACTGCACACAAAGATACAAATCTTTAACGAAAGAGCTATAAAACACTGAGATGTAACGAAGATAGGTAAGGGTTTATGACCTCCTCGTCGGTTCTGCGAACGAGAATCCCAGATTCCTCCAAGGGTTTGATGATATGTCTAATGCCTGCAAGATCATCCACTTTGGCATCTCTGGTTCCTTCGTACACATCACTGTGGACAATGCACATAACAGTCAATACATGACACTGTAAAAATCAATAAAGACCAAAACATATGTGTATACCTAGCAACCATAGTCCCCATTCCATCTCTTTTGAAAAGTTCCAACAACAGAACTCCACTTATGGTACCATCCAACAAGTGAACTCTTTTAACTCCACCCTTCAAGGAAAGCAAAACAAACGATTTAAGTTAAAAACGGTGGCCATAAGAAACAAGACCAAGGTTTCATTACACACTCACTCTGCAAACAAACGCCGCAGCTGCCAACTCAGAAAGATAACCGTTTAAGCGGCTTAGTCTCTCCTCACCACCGATAGCAAAACCTTGCTCACCAGACCACAATCCGTTTCCATTCTCAAATCCAACACCGTTCTGAAAGACTGGAGTTTGGTTTCTGTGTCCCCAAAATGCTGGTCTCCCGTTATGAGGATAAGTATCCTTACCGTTGGTGTTAGGAGGCTCATGATAAGTGATACTTCCATCTCCAACAGCTTTTACATAATTAGCAGCAATGTCGCTTTGTTGTGCCCGTTTTCTCACTAACATATCTGCTTCTTGAAGTGTCAAGAAACGAATCAGATGTCCACTCTCATCAAGAATTGGACCGTCCATTATGCAAATAAGCTTATCTGCTCCTATAGCTAATGCACAAGCTGTAGCAACCTCATAAGTACTGCCAAAGTAAAGGTCTGTCAATACTATATATAGAGAGAAAATTTTTATCATCTAAGGTTATTTGAGACAATGATCAGAACTAGAGTGAGCATACTTGCAATTTAAGACTTCTCCAGAGCTTGAGTGGCCTAAATTCCTCAACAAGACTACAGAACCACCGTCAAGCCTCTCACAAATCCGATCAACATCTATCTTCTTCACTTCACCTGTGGCTCCAAAATCAACACCATCAACAACACCCCTTCTCTGCACCATAAAAAACAAAAGAATCAGTCACAGAAACCGAATATGATGTGATTCAAAGCCGTATGAACATGTCAAGAAAGTAGAAAACCTCACTTTTGCGGCAAAGAAGTTACCAGTATCAACCCTGACACCAATATCATGCAAACGACTACTATCACCATGCCTACGGATATTGCAAATGGAAGGTCCAGGAGATAGTTTGGCCTCAAGCATCACCGATATTGCTCCAGCAGCTTCTTTAGCAGCCTGCAAAGATGCTGCATCCGTTACTCTGTAACGTCCCACATATGTAGCCTCACGTCCTGCAACTCACCCAGTCTTAGGCTCCTAATCGAACAAAACTAGAAGCAACGTTAAATCTATTTCTGACCTCTCTCAGACAAAAGCTCGTCTATTTGCTCTTGAGTTCCAGGGACTAGCACAAATCTTATTCCCAAATGATGAAGAAACGCTATGTCCTAAACACAAATCAAATACGAAACCGTAAGTACATTGTAAAGAAAATATAATAATTTTAACAGAGACAAACCGTCGAACACCTTGTGTGCTTGTTTTAACATAAATAGTATGAGGGAAAAAAAAGACGAAACCTTTAAAATGGGATCACAGTAAGGGCCGGAAATGATCTCGCCGGAGATAACAACGACGAATGTGCAGCCACGGTGGGCCCAGAGGTAAGGCCAAGCTTCACGGAACCAACGCACAAACTCCTTGTCGTCAACAGGATGCTCAGCCTCCACGTCACCGCCTGCATTCGCCGCGTAGTCGTACATATTGCATTTCGCCGTCAGAGAAGGTACAGAACAAACCGGTTTAAACCAAGGAGGGCTAAACCGGGTTTTGCTAGGGTTTAGCTTATTGTTCGGTCTGAAGGAAGAAGTTTCGCTTCTTGTTTGGCGAGATTGGAAAGGAACTTGGAAGTTTGAAGAAGAAGCAGAACCTAACAAAGCTCCTCGCTCCATCATATTTAGGAGAATTTAACTAAAATTCCAGAAGTTGAATTTATCCGGCGGTCTATAGTCGGAGATGGCGGCGGTAGTTGCTAAACTCTTTTAAATGTCTGGTCGTGAGAGTTTGTGTCCTCAAGTTGTTCGACTCCGGTTAGTAAAAAGAAATAAAGTTGGTTCAACCGGTCCGGTCATTCACTCCCAAACTATAACCAATCTCGGTCTGCATTACTCTGATCAATAAAGTGGGCTTTTAGTGAATGTTTTGGAGTACCTTACTGAGCCAAACCTATTTTAAGTATCAGCAAAGTAGGCTTTTAAGGAATGGCTTAAAGTTAAAAACCGCATAAACCCCCTGAACCCATTTATATTGTCAATAGAGTGGGCTTTTAAGGAATGTTTTAATGTTAAAATTGCATAAACAACCTAAACCCATTTGAAGTGTCACCAAAGTGGGCTATGAGGAATGTTTTGGAATGCTTTAGATTAGCGTAACCATTCCAAATTAGATCTCGAGTTTCTTGTAAATTGTTACTCATCTTTCCTTACGCCAAAATGAAACAACTTTTATATAAAGTGATCAGGTTGATAAAGACTAAAAAGAGTGTCAACCAATCGTCACAATATATATATTTTTAATTTATTTTGGATTACGTACCGACATAAAATTAAAAGGTGGAAAATAACAAGCCAAAGAGAACACGAACATCTCTCGGTTAACCGAATCAGAGTAAAAAATAATATTCCCACGAGACAATACTCCTCCACGCTAGATATTTCGCTGTGGTGATTGCGACCTTTTAGCTCATACATTTATGCAAATACTTTATGTATGTTGCGATGAAAGTCACTATTAATCCTTATTTTCCCTTTTGATCAAAAAAAAAATCCTTATTTTCCCTTCAAATACACAAAAAGGCATGCATGATCTTGTTGATTTGTGTTAAATAGCATTTCATGTGGTTTATATATGGAATTTTATCTATTCCCGTTTAATTTGCGTTACAAATACCTAATCTTATTTTGTAAATCATAACACCTCGATAGAAAAAATATTATTGCAGGAAGTTTGTTAATCGAATTCGATGTTTTCCAAATTCCTCGTACGGCAATTAAAAGCTTGGACCAAACAAAAACAAATAAAAAATAAAAGGGGTCCCAGGGTAAAATGCAAACAAAAAAAACAAAAAAAAATAGTGGTCCTAATTTGAAAAGATACAAAAATATCAAACCACAAATATAATAGCTTTGTGGTTTCAGAGCCTCCTCCACCATCGTCTTCCTTTCTTTTTCTTTTACCTTCTTTCACCTATCATACCAAAACAAGATCTCGCTCTCGCTCTCGCCTCGAGATCTATTCCCTTTCTTGCTCGTTGTGATCAAAAAGATTTCTCGAGATTTCCTCCCTCGCCACGAAATCGAACAACACCCTTCTGGATTCAGGTAATCTTCTTCCTTCTCTCAATTTTCCTTTCTTTGTATATTTAAGCTTATTTCGATCAAAAGCACGATCCTTTCGCTTCTGAATCTCCTCCACATTTTAACTCCGTCTCTCTCTGCTCCGTGTTCTTCGGAAAATTTCAAGATTTTACCATAAAGTGTTCATCTTTAAATCATCTTTGTATCTGTTTGGTTGTGTAGAGAAAAATGGGTGGTGAGGCAGAGATCAAAGAACGTTTACAACCCAAATCCGAAACAACGGAGAAAAAACAACACAACGTGAAAGGGAAGAAGCTCTGGCAGAAAGTCAAGTATCAGCTCGTGGAGTATCACGCCTTACCTGCTTACCTGCGTGACAACGAGTACATCCTCGGCCATTACAGATCCGAATGGCCCATCAAACAGATCCTCCTCAGCATCTTCACTATCCACAACGAGACCTTGAATGTCTGGACGTAAGTCTTTCTTGATTTTCCTCCATTTTCTTAAGTTTAAAGATCTTGAATTTGAATGTGTCTGTGAAAAATGGCAGGCACTTGATTGGGTTTTTCCTGTTTCTAGCACTTACTATATACACAGCTACAAAAGTCCCTAGCGTTGTTGATCTCCACTCTCTTCAACATCGTTTACCTGACGTCTTGAGGAAAACAGATCTTCACAAACTTCACTCTGACCTCATGTCTCGTCTCCCTTCTTCCACTCCTTCCACTTGGCACGTCATGGAGCTTCTCTATAACTGTCTCCCTGAAAGATTCTCTCACGGCAACTCCACCGACATGTGTGTTCTGCATTCTGTGAGGGAGGATCTTGCAAACATGATTGCTCCTTTGATTTTCAGACCGATTACTCGTTGGCCCTTTTATGCATTCCTAGGCGGTGCTATGTTCTGTCTATTAGCAAGCAGCACCTGCCACCTCCTCTCTTGTCATTCAGAGAGAGTCTCTTACATAATGCTTAGGCTTGACTACGCTGGAATCGCTGCTCTGATCGCCACTTCCTTCTACCCTCCAGTCTACTACTCTTTCATGTGTGATCCTTTCTTCTGTAACCTTTACTTAGGATTCATCACAGTCTTGGGAATCGCCACGGTGCTTGTCTCGCTCCTTCCGGTTTTTCAAAGCCCTGAGTTTCGTGTTGTGAGAGCCTCTCTGTTCTTTGGAATGGGATTCTCTGGAGCGGCTCCGATACTGCATAAGCTGATCATCTTTTGGGACCAGCCTGAGGCGCTTCACACTACAGGGTATGAGGTTTTGATGGGGTTGCTTTATGGGTTAGGAGCTTTGGTTTATGCGACTAGGATTCCTGAGAGATGGATGCCTGGTAAGTTTGATATTGCTGGACATAGTCATCAGTTGTTTCATGTTCTGGTGGTTGCTGGTGCGTTTACACATTATAGAGCAGGGCTTGTGTATCTCAAGTGGAGAGACATTGAAGGTTGTTGAAGATGAAGATCATATTGATGGAATCTTTTCTTTTGTAGCTTCACTAAAAAATTGGATTGTGTAAAGTCTATGTGTAACCAAATGTTTTTCTTTTTAATATTCCCTTGATCCAAACCCTAGCCATAATTCTTAACACTAGATGGTTCTCTATATGAAAGGAAAACCATATGAATATATAGCATTAAGAAGAGGTTTAATCGAAGTTGGTTATAATATTCAAAAGATTGTTGGATACAAAACTTAGGGTTATATTCCTGGATTTGTTGGTTTCACACATGGCACAAAGCTTAGGGTTATAATCGTGTTGGATTGGGCGGTTGTGGTGAGATGTCGCTTGAATGGGCCAAAAAGTTACGTGAGGTGAAAGGCAACCTTGGGTTTTTATTTTGGGCTAACATTACCAATATAAAGGCTTTATGTAAAACAGGCAACACCAAATGTGCTAAAAAACGTTCAGTAACTAGGTGTTTCATAGATGATTAATGTTTATGCGATAATGCAGGTGGTCTAAACCGATTTCTTGAACGTCCAGATCGAATCTTACAAAATCGTTTGAAAAAATCGTTTTCCTTGTATCTGATTGGCACCGTTTGCTTAGACCTATTTTTAGAACATTGCAAAACTCCATGAAGAACTAGAACATGACAGATTCATAGGTGGTGGTTTATTCCATTTTCTTTGTTCTCGGCCCATTGATGGAACTACACTCGGAAAACAGAAAACCTCAAACCTAGTAATCTCACGAGAAACCGACAGTTGTAAAGCAAAAAAAAAACAATCGAAGTAATCTCACGAGAAACCGACAGTTGTAAAGCAAAAAAAAAACAATCGACTCGTAATGATATTCATAAATAATTTTTGACCACAAAAAAAGCCTTTTGACCATATACATGCATGGACATATACGAAACACATCGCCCGTATAAAACAACAAACCTATAATTAAAAACACCCTAATGACGCCACGCGTTAAATCTCAACGAACACTCCACCACAAACATATAGAAAACAAAAGGACATTTCTAAAAAGCCATAATTAGTGGATTCATAACGTTGCATTGCATCCATTAACTCATTACGTAAACACGCACACACATAATAATATGTGTTCTGGAGATGAAGCTGACGTTAGAAGACGACAAAAACCTAAAACATTAAAAACAGTAATAATTGCTCTTACTAATTCTCCTAGTATTGTAGGAAATGTGTTGCAAACTTTATGATTGATATTTTTCGTCGCCATTGGTGATATTTACACAATGATTGATAAAGTTTTCTATATATATAGATTATAGACATCATATTATAAATTACAACTATTTTTTTTTAGAAAGGGTAGATGTTATGTTGTCATTAATATACAATTTAAAGGTGAAGAGTGTTGCATGTTGACATCCATTTCCAATTCCAAATATCACTTAGCGACACATTTAGTTTTTAACCAATTTACAAAGTTGTCGTTATATGGCTTATTTTTGGTAGTGGTGGATAACTTTCCATACGTAATTGAAATCACGATTTTGATAATGCTATAAAAGATAGATCCTACTTTTTATTAAAGTGTTTGCCCTCACTTTAATCAAATATTTAAATAAACTTTATATAATTTGGCCTAAACCGTATATACCCGTCGGCTTATAGCATATATATACAAAGCGGTGTACGTGATTAAGGACAATGACATATATATACATGTATTCAGATTATCAACGCATGTTACGCATCAAAACTGATTTGTCTTTTCCTCAAGCAAAGAGAAGTTCGTTGGTTAAGAGAAGGGTAAAGAATAACGAATTCTGAATGATTCGCAATATTGCATGTATTGAATTTTTTGGGGGGTCAAAATTTGCATGTATTGAATTATATCCAAGAAACTACATACTGTATAAAGATTCTACACATGTCTAATAATATGTAAAAAAAAATCAATGGAGTTATATCATTTTCTAGTACTTTTGATGGGAGGTTTTTAATTTAGAGGTTTGTATTAAATGTAACCCCGTTAAGCTGAACATAATAGCATCCATATGTATGTGCAATGTACATGTTCATTCATATTATAACACAATGAAGTTGAGATTTTTTTGAAAAAAAAAACTACTATCCAAAGCTTTTTGTTGGACATTAAAGTTTGATTTCACATGTACCGAACCAAAGACTTATAATGTACAGATTCACATAATTTCACATGTATTTATATATGCACTGGAACACTGATTTCGACATAAATTAAATTGGAATTATTAAAAAGGCATAATATGAAGCTTTTTAAAATGGACAATAAAGTTTGATTTCACATGAGACCAAACCAAACCTGACTGGCTAAGAAGAAAAGGTTCGTGTCTAATAAATAAGTATATATGTATTTGTTGTCCTGATCTATACTTTCTTTTATACGTATGATAATGAAATGCATGTGGCTTGCTCCACATATACTTTTAAATCCTTAATGAGCTAATTACTAAGGTTATTCAGTTTTCTGATGTAACTATAATAAATGGTTAGCTCAACAATAACAACATTTGCTGATCATAAATTTGTAAATGGTTTGTGTGATCTATAAGCACACATTTCCATCCTCGTTAACTACCCGAACAACAAACAACAGAAATAAGAAAGTTCTTAGAATAAAAGCTACTGCTATATATATATGTGTGGGTGTGCGAAATTATGAATGATAAATTCTTTAACAACAAAAATAAATTATGATTGATATGCAACATTTTAACCAAAACAAGTCAGCCTTAAAAAAATTCAAATTATTACAAAATAAATTATCTCGATTCAATATTTAATAAGACATTAAATTTTCATATTTCTTGGTTTCCCAATATTTCTACTGAATCAACTAAACCTAAAAATCAAAATTTTCTATATACTTTGGTATATTATTAACTTTCACATTTTTCTGTTTCTTAATATTTCGTCTCAATCACCAACTAAACATAACATATTGTAATTTTCTAAATACTTTTAATTGGCATATTAGAAGTTAATCTTTGAATGTTACTCTGTGGCAAGCAAGTATATATACTTTTGGTCGTAGGTTATATAGCTTTATAGGGTTCTTTACAAAAAGCATTGGTCTCATATCTCATGCAAAGCACCAGTTGGGTTCAGTTATTTGGAAAGTCTTCCTTAGATTCTTCATTTATTTTCGGTTTAATTAATTTTACTCCACTCTTTGTCTACTTTTTTTTTTCTTTTGTAGATTGAAATGATGATTCTAGTCCCTCTTCAGTGTCCATCCCGTGTAAAAAGAAATTAAGAAGATTTTTTTTCCTTTTTCTTTAAGAAAGATGACTAAAGTGAACACCAAATAACCAACTCTATCGTGGCTGTCAATATCATAACAACAAGTATATGTTCAGAAAATAAATATAGGGGGTGGGGAGGAAGAATACAAATAGTTTCTGGATATGAAGAAAGAAAAGAGTTAATTGTAATAATATATTATATATAAAGACGTCAATGTTATGCTGCAGTATTGGTAAACCCATGGATGCATTGAAAAAAATGTTCATCCGAAAGAAATAAAAAGAATTATGATCAATCCCTTATATATTATTTGAGAAGCATTACAACATGTTTTGGTAGCCACGTGTCATTATGAGAATGCTTCTCAAATTTACTAGAGAAAAATATTGGTCCATATAAACATATAATATACTTTTTATTAAACTAAACATAAACTATTATTATTGCTTTTCATTATTTCCTTAAATAAAATTTACGGAATTACCTAATATGGTTATAAGATATATATGACAATTAATGATTCGAATATGAAGATTTGATAAAAAAATTTATAGGCTCTACTATTTTTGTTAAATTTATATTATG